CCATCAGTAAAGGGTTTTCCTTCCTTGGCTAACAAATGAGCTACTCGTAGACTTACTTTACTTGCAGCCTTATTTTCATTTTTCATTTTCGTGAAGAAACTGCGTTGTAATGAAATACTCCGTTTCAAAGTTTCTAATTTTTGTGATCGTTCCTTCCCTGTGAGTTGGGAATACTGTGCCGAATGCTTAGTCTGGTAATGCCGACGTATATTGTACTCTTTTAGTACAGCTATAGTATCACTGCACAATAAACACAATGCTTTACCATCTAATTCGGTAACAAAATAATTCTCACTCCACTCTGCCTTAAAAGCACGACATACCAAGTCCACTTTTCTCTTCTTTTGTGGTTTCGACAGCGACATGATGGATATCCACTGGTATTAAAACGACACAGAACAGCGATACACGTGGCAATCGTAACACTGCTTGTCATCACAGCTGGGGCCACGAAGGAACGAGCGAATGGGAAGCTATAGGAGCGCCACACACGGCAATTCTCGCAACTCCTCAACTAAAGGTCGGCCGTTGGAGTGCGTAATCATCCATAGACAATATGTTCGAAAAAAACGTAGGTTTCTTCCTATAAATAAAGCTTCATAGACGCAGAAATATTAAACTCATAATAATTATCTTGTTTCATGAAATATTATCCCACTTTGACATTTTTAAGAGTTTGGAAATGTAAAATCTATTCTCAGCGCGCGGACCGCAGAAAAAACGGCGGCGGGCCGGAGTTGGCCCACGGGCCGTAGTTTGCTGACCCCTGCTTTAGAGCAACATGTATTTCTGTATGACACCTACTGTGAAATACGGAACTGCTGCAAAGTATCGGCGAAAATTTCGACGCAAATTTCACGATGAAAGAGTTTCAGCAGGCAAAGAATTCATAATTTGGTGAATAAACTTAGAACAACGGGAAGACAAGAAAACGAAACATAAGCGTCCAGTGCTTACTGAGCAGAAGTGATCCTTGTAACTTTTTTGTGGTGTTGTGTGACGGACAAACTTTACAGCAGTAACCCTCGAACGGAAGAAGGACCCAAAGAAAACATTCTTAGATAAATTTCAAACATTTCTGCAGAGAATCTTCAGAAGGTAAATCAGAACCTCATCCGCTGGTGCGCGGAATGTTTACGTGTAGAGGGACAGCACTTGCAACGCCTCCTGTGATTTGTATACAAAGGTAAGAATTTCTCTTCGTTCCAAATATTATCGGCATGCTGAGTCATCCGCAAAATTCGCGTGCGTTCCGCGGCCGACTATGCGCCGGTCACGGAGAAGCGCGAAGCCGTGAGCTCGTCAAGTTCATTAAAAACCACCCTCTGCATTCCCACTCTTGGTTTCTCTTCTCAGCTTCATATTTTATTGGAGGAAGGAGTGAACTGGACTGCAGCTTCACGAAGACAGAGAGTTGCAGAGACTGGGAAGGCCTGACAGAAACAATGAGTGTGGAGCAACCTGCCCCTCCACTGTTTGACTACCGTTGGGATGGTATGTACGTGAGATATGTTCTGTCCATTCCCCAAGTTTGGAAATGAAGGCGTAGCATAAGAATTCCGGTGCACTCACTCTGACATTGTCCCTAGATTTTCAGTTTGTGATTGCAAATATTTGATTCTGTCATACTTACTGTAACGCAATTGAAGTGGACACGAACAAGGATGCACGGGTTTGAGGCCGTCTCCTACAAATCCGTACTGAGGTTCTTATATAAAGTATGATTTATAATGTACTTGTGTTTATGACTTTTGATACAGTCAGGCCAATAGTATTAAAATCTTGAGTGACGGAGCCATTTTTTTTTATTTACATCGTAAAGTTAAGAACTAATGGGTAAGTGTATAGACATGAAATGTTTCATGTTTCCTTGGAACTTGTGTCAGGAACATACTCTGCTCCGTTGAACATTAAGAAGTTAATGCTCGAGATTCACATAGAAATGAATAAAATTGTTTAGTTAAATGTAGTTTTGTTGTTGTCTGATTTCACCAGGATTGGAATTTATCAACAAAATATAGTAAAACTTCTTCATGCAAACATTCAAGATCATCTGTTATGCCAGGATTACTGGGGTTTATGGAGTTTGTCCATTGTTAAATATTCTAAAAACACAAAAGAACACAACGTTTCGCTAACTGGACCTGTTCCCCTCCTCAGGTGAGGTGTGGGAGACATATCTATATCTGTTAAGTGTTTCTCGAATTGTTGCGTGCTCGAGCTGGTCACTGAACGTGACATAGAGTGAGTTTGGCATTTGCACACGAGGAGCTAAGTAGATACGTGTATGTATTACTGAAGTGTAACTGTGGATATATCACCACGACACCTCAACATCATTCAGGAAGGAAACAACAGATTTTTAATGCCCCCTGTTTTTTAAGATGCTCAGAATATATTTCAAGTTGAAAGTGGAATAATACGAAACGACTCTTCTTCGTTGTAGAGGAACTACAAAGCCTTATTTATGATTCAGAGGTAATGGGGTTTTCTCTCGTAGGATAATGGACTTCCATAACTAAATTTGATTTAAACTTTTCGCAGCGAATATATGCAATGAATTATTCTTGGGGGATCAGCGGTGTCACTGTGAAGTAAGTTACCGACTCTGACCCTGTCCCCATTGTTTAATGTAATGCATGTCGTGTACGCATGTGTGCTTCCAATTGTTTCCTCAGCAGTACGCACTGTGGTGGCAACGCAGTGTTGCGTGTATCCTGGTAACATGACAGTAAATAACGGGTTCCGGATTTGATAACTTGATTTATTGGATAATTTCACACGTCATAACTACAATTCGCTATTGCACTGTCAAGATTTCTGTATCTATGACAGAGACAATTATAACACTCTCAAGGTTAACACATCAACTACTGAACTGCCTTGAACAACGTCTTCCTGACGAAACCTTTCGAACAAATCCAAGTCATATTGCGATTGACGGTCAGTCAGTTAGTAAGTCTTGGTGTCGAGCCCCGTTTGGGGATCATGACCAGATATTTATTATTGTTGAACGTTACGGTGTTTTTTTTTGGGGGCGCCCTCTCTGATGCGAGGACGGGTCTGTCTTTTTTACATGCTACTGGGACTTGCCAGCGTAGTCTTTCTCGGGTCTGAGTCCCTTGAGACTCGAGAACATATTTTACTCTCTCAGATTTGAGACTGGGGAATGACCAGAGTCAGAGTCATAGTTACATTGCGACTGACGGTCAGTCAGTAAGTCTTGGTGTCGAGCCCCATATGGGGCTCATGACCAGATATTAATTATTATCGTTTGACAGTTACGGTCTTGTTTCTGTGGGGCGCCTTCTCTGGCGAGAGGACGGGACTGTCTTTTGTATATGCTGCTGGCTCTTGCCAGCGCAGTCTTTCTCGGGTCCGAGTCCCTTGGGACTCGCGACCATATTTTACTNCGGGCAAATAGAAATGGAAATATACAGAAAATCCACAACGACAAACATAACAATAAATAATAAATCATGCCACCCTAAAGAACAAAAATTGCCAGCATATAAAAATTGGATACACAGACTTCTTACACTACCCCTTGAGGAAAATGCTAAAAACAAAGAATTAAATACTATTATTAATATAACACTAAATAATGGCTATAGAAAGGAAGACATCACATATCTATATAACAGACTTAAGCGAAAGATGGATAACCCGGATAATAAAGACGAAAAAGAACAAAATGGGTCGCTTCTACTTATACAGGAAATTACATACGAAAAATCACAAAACTATTCAAAAACACTAACATAAAGATAGCCTTCCAAACAGCCAACACAATAGGTAAAGTAATAAATGAAAACGAGAAATAAACCCCTACGAACAAAGTGGGATATAGGAAATAACATGCCAAAGTTGCCAAAAAGTATACAGCGACCAAACTGGTAGAAATCTAACAAGATACAAAGAACACATAAGAAACATAAGACTAAACAAGGATGAATCAACATTTGCCCAACACATACTAAATAAACACCATCAGTACGGGCCGATGACAGTAATCATGGAAATGATTAAAAAGAAAAAAAGGCATCATGAATGTAAATAAATTGATAGAAGAACAAGAACACACAAAAGAGAGTAATAGCCAACGTAACATGTTCGACCTCATAATACATCAGAGCACGCCCACATCAACGTCACAGACACAGGAAGTATAAATTAACAGTCTTCACTGATTCTTATATAGGATCGGCACGGACCACATAGAAAACAGGACCTCTGTTGTTTTCCGGAACTTGTTTACTGCTCATTGCTTAGCAATGGAAAGCCCTTTTTCTGTTTTAGGCCAAAACATTTTTCTTGGCAACGTGTTTACCTAGCTGTTCCTAGCAACGGATATTCGTGTTGCAATAGCTTGTGGATGCAACTACTACTTCGGTATTCTCATGCAGTCTTGTCGACATAGATTTATAAAAATTAGGCTCCATTGCTTTCAAAGCGACTATTTTTTTTTCAATTATGCAGTTGATATTAAATCAGAAAATCAAAATCCGGTGGTCTCTGCTTCAAGCCACTATTTGTAACCAATCTAACGTCTTCACTTTCACTGTACTCTTATCAGAAAGACGAGCGGGCGAAGCTTGGGAAAATTCTCTCTAAACAATGTTCTTTATCCCTCCACAAAATACAGAATCCCTCAGATTCCCAGGACTTATGGCTTTCACTTACTCTTCTACTAAGCGGCCTCCGTAGTCTAGAGGTAACGTTCCCACCTTATAACTCGTGGTACGCGGGTTCAAATACCCGGCGGAGGTCGTCGAATTTTTAAGGGCGGAAAAATTCAGGGAACAAGTCCTCCGGGAGGGACTTTAAGCTGTGTGTCCCGTGTCGTAACTTTACGGCACGTAAAAGAACCTCATATCCCCAAAAGGGATCACTGAGCCAAATTCCAGGACGTTTCCCGCACAACAATAGTCTCTAAGGCCTCTGATAGATGGGGAAGCATTATAGACACCGCTAAGCAAGTGGCCGAAAACATACACTTGGATTGAGTGCAAGAGCTGAGTGAACGAAATTGTTAGCTCCGAACGAAACTTCTACACTGCGAATTGTTTTTACGGTTCGACGTTTTAAGTGACGTGGTCATTGGTTTACTGTTATATTTGTGTCGTAAATCGTTAATCAGAGTGAATACATCCAACACACAGTTATAGCAAAAACATAACCTCTACTTGTCGCTCTGCGGCCCAGGGCCTACCCTAGATGAGTGGTCCGGATAAAGACGTAAACTTGATGGACTATGATGCAACTACGATGGTGAAGACAAAGCCGAGACGACGCAGTAGGAGCCCACCAAGTGATGTCCTATCAAACAAGAAACGGACAGTTGGAAACCCACAACCGCCCACTACAGACAACATCGCTGCGCCGCCGGCCACGACAACAGGTAACAGCTTCGATAACGCAACCGCAGCCCTCACCTTCACCCAAGAGGATGCAGGGCCCTTTGTCCTCCACCTCAGAGGAAACCGTGAAAATAATACCAGACCGCTAATGGCACTCGAAGTATGTCGAATGCTAGAGAAATCTATCGTAAAATACGATCTAGTGACCCCTCTTACGAGAAACACGTGGGAAATCACTTTCAATACACGAGACACTGCTAACTACGCTTTAACCTCCCCCTACCCGAAACAACACGGTTTGATGATTTGGTTGCCTTGGATGAAAGTTTTTAGGAAAGGCATCATTAGAGGCATCCCCCTAGACTGCTCTGTTGCGGAAATTAAGGAAGAACTTAACAAATCAAATCCCGGACTGAAAGTATCAGAAGTATCCAGGTTAAAGCGACGAATACAGAAGGATGGACACACTGAATGGGCCGACACCCACACTGTCAGTGTTGTTGTAAGAAGTACACAATTACCAAAATTCGTTTATATTTGGCGAACGAGACTGGACTTGGAACCCTTCATCCCACAGGTTCGACAGTGCTTTAAATGCGGCAGATTCGGCCATATTAGTAAAGTTTGCAAAGCAATTGAGAAATGCCTGACTTGTGCCCACGACAAGCACCCAGAAAGCGAAACATGTGCGACAACCCCGATGTGCATTAACTGCAAAGGTGACCATCCTACCCTCAACAGACAATGTCCCAAATTTAGGGAATCCAAAGAAATCTGTAGAATTATGGCTCATGAAAATGTACCCTTTGCAATAGCACAAAAACAATTCTCCAACATGCAACATAATTCCTTGTTCCACTCACCATCTATAACTTTCAGCAACTTCCCACCATTGCGACATTCTCCTACTCCAAGTAAATTCCCTTTGCCCCCTGAACAGAAAAATCGCAAATACAGTGAAGCCGTGCAAGCTCGGCCGGCCAAGGACCGTATTTCGCACACGACTCCTTACCTCGCTGAGACCAACTCGCCAATGAGCAACATCCATTCTGTTCACCTACAAAGACTGGAATCGATCTTAAAAGCAGACCCGAACTCGAATGCTCTATGGAATAGAATCTGGAAAGCAATCGA